TACCCAGCCTCCCTCTCTATTGAAATTAGGATGTTTTTTAATTTCAATAGCCTCACGTATCATCCTTGGCAGGAATCGATGTTCTTTCACAACGTGAAGCACCAACGTTCCGGGAAGTCTGCAGTTTGTGATCATATCCTAGACGGCCCCCGTCATTACATTAGATTTGATAAACCACAAGTCCTCACGAAAGAACATCGATTCCTGCCAAGGATGATACGTGAGGCTATTGAAATTAAAAAACATCCTAATTTCAATAGAGAGGGAGGCTGGGTACTACCACCTGCTTGGGATCCTGTAATTCATAAAATTAAAACTAAACTCAAGCATACCACTGTAAGACTTCAAGACACAGTTAGTTCATTCTGCGTAGATCGGACCAAAATTAATAATTAAAAAGCTGAAGGTACTCCGGGTTAACTTTGACATCGGGACGTCAATCACCTCAGTTCCCCGTGACCACGGTTGCTGGAAAGCAACCGAAACGTCGGGAATATAAAATAAGTTAATTAAACGCGATAAAATCCGTAAAAATAGTTTTATTCAATTTTCACAGATTATTAACTTCCTTCTGCGTAGCATTGAAAGGAAGTTAATGGTTTTAGCTGGCAGTCTGTTCGTCTGTATGCCGACACGATAACTTCCGTTTCACTGGACCGATTGACTTTAAATTTGGTATGTGGATACCTTGAGGTAGTAGTAGCTCGGTCGAGTTTGAATTTGGGTCCTGTAGGTCAAAGGGCACCAGAGATATGGGATTCACGCAGAAGGAAGTTGTTTTTCTTGAATTTACATTCAACTCGTTATCTATACATACCTATAAATAAAATAGATGTGTCTGTCGGTTATATTGAAATTAAAAGGCTTCTGTTAAGCTCAGCGGGCTATTTGCATACCATCACCACATTTTTATATAGAATAAGGGTAACAAACGAGCACACAGTTCACCTGATGTTAAGTGGTCGCTGCGGCCTTTAGACATCTACATCTATTCTCGATTACGAATCAAAATGCAGATGCGTTGACAGCCGCGGGGACTCAGACGGATTGCCTCGTTTCCAGTAAAAAGAGTCTCCGGTTCCCTACACTCACCATACGAAATACAGCAGTGTCAAGCTGCTATTTCACGCTGGTATTCTGTGAGAGCGTGGTCCTTCCCCGGTCGAGCCGACCCGTTCGTGCTACGACTATACTACTAATATACCCGCAGCGTGGTTCTACCACTATGATATATAAGAGAAGAGTGTGGTTTACAAGATGATGTTGTGACCAGGATTAAGAAAGGAAAGAATAAGGAAAGAGTGACAACGCTTTATGTTGCAGAAGTGAACGACAGAATCGGGAAGGGACGCCCTAGGCGAGTTTAACGACCGAATTAGCGATATATTGAAAATGCGTAAGTATATGGATGTGGAGGCGAGAGAGGTACGTCAGGATCGTGCCAAATGGAAGTCCATAGTCTCTGCCTACCCCTCTGGGTAACAGGCGTGTGTGTTTATGTTACGTTTAAGTTTTTTTGGCTTGGATGCTTGGATGCACTCCATGGAAAACATATACCCTGTTCTTTAATAACTGGCTTTACGGCTCTGGGTTCTAGCCCTTCTGAGTCTGAAGTTACAGTGTATAATTATTCTTCATAGTACACTGCATCACAATATGTTGATGCGTCACATTGTACAGCCCTTAGGAAATTTTGACGGCAACTTGAGCCAGCAGACAGCAGACAGTTGGCGATAGTATCTCAAGGCGCCTAAGCAGACACCTTATCTTGAGATTCATATCACCATCGGAGCACTTGTTTCACCGTTCCACTAATAGTTCACATGCGCACGCATTCAAAATCACACCACTTTACATATCAAAATCACTTCAAACCATTTTTTAAACAATAATACAGAAGAAGCAATCCGCCACCGCTCCAGTTCCCGCCAAAAATCCCTATAAATAAAATAGAAGTGTATGTCTGTATTATTGAAATTAAAAGGCTTCTGTTAAGCTCAGCGGGCTTTTTGCATACCATTACCACATAAATAACCATTTTTAAAAGTGTTATCTGTCTGTCTGGCAAGCTAATCTTCAGAATGACTGAACCAATTGTGAGTAAACTGCACAAACAGACAGAGAGCAATGCCTGGAGTGATCTAGACTATATTTTAACCGAAAAGCTCGTTAATTTTTGTGAAGTCGAAAAATCGTTTAAATAAATGATCGTTGATGATTATCTTAAATATATCTCTTAAATGATGATATAAATGACATTAATAGATACCACCCAGACAAAACCGGGGCGTTTTAACGATAATACTTCTTTTTTTACTTATATTTTCTTTCTTGTTATATTCTCTTACAGAATACCAGCTCAATGATGTGATGTGTTTCGTATGGTGATTGTAGAGAACCGGTGACCATTTTTACTGGATACAGGGCATTCCACGCAGGGCATGTTGTTATCAGGAGTGACACCGCGTCTGCATTTTGATTCGTAATGGAGGATAGATGTAGATGTCTATGGGCCACAGTATCTGTTGTGGCTGTGTGCATGTTTGCCACCTTAAAAAAGAAAAATGACGTGCGTATGTTGTGCGCACTGGACGCTATTAGGATGAGTATAATCTTAAGAGTCTGGAAGGAAGTGACCACTAGGCTAACGAGGCTGTGACAAGGCTGAAATATTTCATATGTACTTATTTGATAAGGCAGCACAGAACTGAACTCGAAATATTAAAATGAAACCATTAAACACAAACATGACATTTATTGAATTAACATTAATCTCCTGTTGAAGGAGATAGGAATATTGTATGTTCTATATTTTTCTATTCTATTCTCCTATGTTCTCCTATTCCATTTTGAAGTCAATGTGATATTATATGGTACTAGACATACTACAATAGGACAGGTAATATATAATCTATACAAATCAATAAAATTGAAGTGTCTGTTTGTAATGTCAAAATTACAGTTTTTTAATAAACGCATATGAAAGTAAATATAGTACTTATAACTAAAATACAATTTTTAAAATTTTTGTCTGTCTGTCTGTTTGTTCCGGCTAATCCCCGAAACGGGTGGAGCAATTTTGACGGGACTTTCACTGGCAGATAGCTGATTTCATAAGGAGTAACTTCATCATCATTACAGCCCTTTACAAGTCCACTGCTGAACATATGTTTCCCCCAAGTAATGCCACAAAGCACGGTCCTGAACCATTTGCATCCATCGACTTCCTGCATATCTTACCAGGTCGTCATTCCATCTAGTGGGGGGACGCCCTACACTTCGCCTGCCGGTACGAGGCTGCCACTCGAGAACCTTTCTTCCCCATCGGTTGTCGGTTCTTCGAGCTATATGGCCGGCCCATTGCCACTTCAGCTTACTAATCCGTTGGGCTATGTCGGTCACTCTGGTTCTACTGCGGATATCCTCATTTCTAAGTTTATCACGCAGAGAAACTCCGAGCATAGCTCTCTCCATAGCTCGCTGAGCGACCTTGAGCTTCCTAATCCGGCCAGCAGGAATGACTTAGGCTACTTTTATTTTAGAAAAAGAATTAGGGTTCCGCGCAAAAACATAAAAACCCTAACACACGAGCGAAGTCGCGGGGAACAGCTGGTGAATAATATAATAATGTCCTTCAGGCCGAGTTTCTGTCACGGCCGCCAGCCTCAACGGATACTAACCATCTTCCCAGGACATGATTATAGTGTACGAGTGTATGCGCAAGCACAGCTGCACTCTATTGCCTCACTCTCATAGTCCGAAGGGACGGTAAACCGACACGAGCGGAGAGAGATCAGGCACAGGACCAACGTCTTTACGTGCTTTACGAGGCTCGGGGGTGAAACAACGGTGACCTCCTAACTACCGAATGCTACTGAGAGTTTCTTGACAGAGAAGAGAAGTTTCTTGGTAGAGCCATGCTGCAGCAATATTATGTAGTATAGTTGTAGCACGAATGGTTCGGATCGACCGGGGAAGGACCACGCTATCACAGAATACCAGCGTAAAATAGCAGCTTAATGCTGCTGTGTTTCGTATGGTGAGTGTAGAGAACCGGAGACTCTTTTTACTGGAAAAGAGGGATTCCATCTTAGTCCTCACGGCTGTCAACGCATCTGCATTTTGATTCGCATACGAGGATAAATGTAGATGTCTATGGGCCACAGCAACCATTTACCATCAGGTGGACTGTATGCTCGTTTGTCACCCGATCCTATATAAAAAAAAGAGAAACATAACTGATTTCGGCCCGACCCGGGATTCGAATCCGGGGCCTCCAAAGTCAACAATTGCGTTTACGATCACTACATCAACGAGTCAAACATAATGTACCTACATATATTGTAAGGGTCTAATTAACAATTTCTAAATATTTCAAACATCAAAAACAATATGGCGGCTTTTTATTTGATATCTGCGTCATGTGGCAATGAGGGTATCCACGAATTTTTCTGCCACCAGGGCGGCGCCACTAGAAAGTGAGGTATAATATTTGTCAGATTTCATAGTTTATTTGTTCGGAAACTTACATACATAAACACTCACGCCTGTCACCCAGGGGGGTAGGCAGAGACTACGGACTTCCATTTGGCACGATCCTGACACACCTCTCTCGCCTCTTTTACATCCATATATCTACGCATACACGCTCGTCGGTTAAGGGTACTCCTAATCTGGCCCATTTGGCTGTTCGGAAACTGTAAAAGTGAATGTTTTTTTTGTACATACTATTAGTTATATTTTATATTAATATCATTAAAAATAAATAAACCAAACCACAGATATTCAAGAAAGTAGAAATATAAAAAAAAGGTTAAAAATGTGCAAAAAATTTAAGAGCAAACCACTGAGTCATTGTTAGTCTAGAAACTGATAAACTTTTATTAAAAAACAACTTCTCAATTAAATGACATTGTGTAACAAAAAACTTTACCTCAGTGTTAACTAGCGACATGGTAAGCAGAAAATTATTAGCCCCCATTGAACTTCCATGAGATAGCTTAAGACTCAGGTTTAGGTTCTTCTTTGTTTTCTTCTTTACCATCTTGCGCCGCTTTCTTCTCTGCACCATCTTCAATAGAACTTCTGGATAGTTGACGCAGAATTTTCTCGAAAATTTTAGGCGCACTCTTCGTATTTGGCAGCGAGATATCCGTCTGTGTCGTCACCGTCTCGCATCTTTTTTCCTCCGTCACCTCAACTGGTAAGTTTGTCTCTCTCAGATCTAAAGTCAATGTTTTCCTTTTTGTTTCTTTTTCTTTGTCTACCGTCTGGTTTTGTATCTCTTGTATTTTTTCTGTGTTCTCTTCTTTCTCCTTCGTTCTTCTTTCTATAGCTTTAGTCACAACGGTGCCCAGTATGTGCGCGCATTTTATGACGTTCTGTGTTTCTTTCGCCGTAAGATGTAATCCTTCGGCCTTTATTAAGTTATTTAAGCTTGCCAAGTTGTCTGGAGACCGTTTCACGGAATCGTTGGTTGAGAGCTCTGTAAATATGAATTTATTAAAAATATTATATTAGAACCGTGGCTACTCAAAAGATAAAAGTTTTTTCTAAATTTCCCAGTACGCGAGCGCCCCCGGTTCGTTCTTCGTCGGTACCAATACAATTGTTTTAAGTACCACTTACTCGACGGTGAAGGAAAACATCGTGAAGAAACTTGCATGTCTGAGAAATTAAACAAATGTGTACAGCTGTATAAGCAGCATGAATTTATCTTCTCGACGGGGGATTGTACCTGTCATAGAATTCGAGCGTAAAATTACAGGTGATGCGGTGTCATGCTGCTATGTAGGGATCTGGATTCCCTTTTTACTGGAAACGAGGCATTCCATTTTATTCTTCAAATAGTTATAATATAAAATGAAAGTAATTTTTACGGATTTTATCGCGTTTATTTTAACTTTTTAATTCCCGACGTTTCGAGCACTTTACAGCACCCGTGCAGGGGGGCACTGTGGTGTTTGACGTCCCGATGTCATAGTTAGCCCGGCTACCTTCAGTTTTTGTATATTAATTTTTGGTCCTATCTACGCAGAATGAGCTTAAAATGACCAAAAATAGATATTCAAAGACCAAAAATTAAAAAAAATATATATTATTCAAAAATCGAAAGTAGCCGGGCTAACTATGACTTCGGGACTTCATACACCTCAGTTCCCCCCGTGACCATGGGTGCTGTAAAGCACCCGAAACGTCATGAATTAAAAAGTTAAATTAAACTCGATAAAAACCGTAAAAATTAGTTTCATTTAATGTGTAGTCTTCGCGTAAATATAAGAAATCATGATAGGTATAACAGTTACTTTAGATTTACTAAACGTTCGCTCACCAAAATCAATGAGGTCCAGGTCGTTGCGGTAGGGTGTGGGGCAGTGGTCGTAGAGCGCGCGGGTAGTATGGGGTCCGTTGTAGTGCGCCCAGAAGTGGGCCCACTCACCGTCAGAGCCCGGCCTCACCCCCGCACGCACCTCCGACCCCTCGCACTCCTGCCACGTGCTCACGTAGCAGCTGACGTGGAATGCAGTAGATGGCTCATTTAAGGTGTTGTACGTGAAGATTTTACGTTAGTATTTTGTGAGAGCGTGGTCCTTCCCCCGGTCGAGCCGATCCATTCGTGCTACAACCAATAGCTGCAGCGTGGCTACCACGTGCAATATCAGGTCATTGTAACGAATTTATTGTTTTGTCGTCAGTTCTTAAAACTGTTGTGTAAAATTTCATATTATATTTTGCTGAGAGAAGTAGGTGAAAATTGAATTAGGTAGTAGGTTCAGACCAACAAGCAAAAACAAGATGGAGCGCTGAGTACATTTCAAGTGACGTAAAAACCAAGCCAAAACCATGCGCAACTTGTTGTAAGAACACACACTCACGTATGTATATGCATCTTTTTTTTATAGGATAAGGGTGACAAACGAGCACACAGTCCACCTGATAATAAGTGGTTGCTGCGGCCCATAGACGTCTACATCTATCTTCGTTTGCAAATCAAAATGCAGATGCATTGTCACCCGTGAGGACTAAGATGGAATGCCTCTTTTCCAGTAAAAAGGGTCTCCGGTTCTCTACACTCACCATACGAAACACAGCATCGTTAAGCTGCTATTTTACGCTGGTATTCTGTGAGAGCGTGGTCCTTCCCCGGTCGAGCCGACCAATTCGTGCTACAACTATACAATGAATATAGCTGCAGCATGGCTCTACCACGTAAAAAAGTATAGCTGGCTCAAACTATGTATTTATTTGTTAGTACATGAACCATACAACAATGGGTTATTATAGGTACTGAGAGTCGACGATACGCCACTACGATGCCGTTGGAGCCGGTTGGAATCCTACGCACCAGGGATGTGGATACACCGCTTTAGTATCGCGTAAAAGCAATTCACTCGCGGCTCGTTGAACATCCCCGATATGCTGCAGAACTGAGGCAGCCCGACCAGCCCCCGAAATGCATTATCGACTATTGAAATACCTGGAGTCATTTAGTTCTTGTGAGTGTGGCGTCATCAGTGTGTCGGGTGGGGCTCCGAGGGAATCGCCAGAAGACGCCGCCGAGTACTCTGGAGACACCGAGGAACAGTCCAGCTCGGTGCTTACTCCTTGCCTTCAAAACCATATAATTTATTATATACGGTTATTTTGCAATAACCGGCCAAATTTGCAGAGAAGTTTCAGAATAAGTAATATAGACAAATGCTGAAGAAAAATTATTTAAAAAATATCTGAAACTTTGTGTCCTTTTTTTCTTTTAAATTCAAAATGCATGCAAATGCATTATTTGAAATGATTTCACTGCGCACGCATACATTCGTAAGGCTCGATCGGTAGGCAAAAACGTTGTTGCCCATAAATCACATTCAATTTGGGATAATTTCAAATAAAAGTAGAAGCCTTATTTACATGTATTTTCAAAAACTGCTATAACGTTTTTTTATTATGTACGAGCAGCTACGCAGGTCTAGACAGAGCAGTATCACTGCAACCTCAAAGATCTATTCGGCTGTCCCATTTCAAAACCTAGTAAGGGACACTTTTTACAAAAATCGTTTGATTGCATATTCTTCCTAACCTAGTAAGTTCCTACCCAATACAAAAACACCAGCGTTGTAAACGCACAAAAAAGCTGATATATTAAAGCATCGATACCTAGTAAGTGTACCATTCACCGCCTCGTGACCACATAAAAACCTAGTAAGTCACTTTAACCATTTCAAAACCTAGTAAGTGTCTGAGACTTGCTAGGTTTTAAAATGGTTAAAGTGACTTACTAGGTTTTTGAAATCAAGTCCGAACGTGAAGAAAGAGAGGGATAATGCACGTTGTTCACAGCATGTCACAACACGTAAGCGCAAGCTTTCGCTTCAATTCATTTATCGGCGTCGGCGCGTGAACACAGTAACTTGAAGTGTCGTTGTATTTGTTTTTCATAAAAATGAATCGCCAAATGCAATTTTACCGTTCCAAAAAGATTGTGGCTGCCGCCAAAAATAACAATATAAACTGTGATTCAGAGACGGAAAAACGGTAAGTACATTATATCTAAACTATTTATTTTGCCTTATAATACACGTGCACTGAAATACCTATGTAAATTAATGATGCTAATTAACACTAATATTTTGAACCTATTAGTTTGTACGTGATTATTATTTTGTTTTTGGTTTGATAGGCATGTTTAGTTTTAAGTTTACCATGAGTTGTTGTTTTGGCTTGAAAATGGAATTATTGATGTATGCGGTATTTTAAAATTGGTTGCGGTTTCTTTTTGTCGTGTGTTGCATTTTTCTTTTCTTTGCTTCAGTTTGCCTGCTAATAACGGCCTAATTAAATTCAAAGCACTATCCACTTCATCTTCGCAAAATAACACTGCTATAAATCCTAAAACCTTAAGTGTAATTGACCCTGAAGAATTAATTACATTTAGCGATTTGGACGATTCAGTTGAAGATCCTGATTTTGAGCTGCCTGAATCTGTAAAAGATACTTCTTCTGATACTGATTTTACATTCCGGGACTTCTTGGGTTCTTGTATATCTCAATCTGCCGCTGAATCTCTGCATCAAAATAGACAACCCGAAATACACTTCGTAGCTGCATATCCCGGTCCAGTCTTTACTTATAATGAACATGATAATTTATCAAACACCAGTACAACACAAAATGCAAATCCGCAATATGTAAATGCCACTGAACCAAATGTTATGAAACCAAATAAAAATAAAATAAAGCATCCGATGATCGTAAATAGTTGTGATGGCAAATGCAAGAGGCAATGTGCAAAGTTTTCAGTTGAAAGTCGGAAAGAGATTTGGGATAAATATTGGGAACGAAATTTTGTATCAAGGCGTAATTTTCTCAATAAATGCATAACTATATGTTCTATAAAGCGACGTAAGGTTCAAATCTCAAATTCTAATAATTCGTTTTCTAAAAACGAAAGTCGTTATTTTTCTTTGCCAAATAAAGACAACGAGTTGATTCCCGTGTGCCGTAACTTTTTTTTGGCAACTCTTGGATATAAAACTGATGGCGTGATAACAGAACTTAGTAAAACTATAAAGAAAGGGTATTAAATGCATCTGCTTCCAAAGAAAATAGAGGTGGCAATCGAAGAAAAGTTGATGGAAGCATAATAACTGAGCATATCATGAGTTTTCAGCCCACTGTTAGTCATTATCGCCGTCACAATGCACCATTTACTAAATATTTGCCGAGACACTTAACATTACAGCAAATGTATAAAGATTTCAAGCAGAAAAATCCAAATTTTAAATGTGGGGTTGAATTATACAGACAAAATATAAAAAAACTAAAAATATCATTTCATATGCCTAAAGGTGATAGCTGTGTAGAATGCTCAATGTATGAACAAGAACTGAAGAATTACAGCGATATTAATTCGATGCCTGAAAAAATAAGAACGAAATATGAAAATCATAAGTTCAAAGCTGACTCTGCTTTACAAAGATACAGATTAGATGGATCAAGCAAAAATTCAAATAGAGTTAAATATTTATCAATGGATTTACAAAAGGTGATTATTTTACCAGAGATGCCTGAAATTAAAGATGCTTTTTTTATGAGTCGTTTGGTTACGTTTAATTTAACATTTGCTCCAATTGAAAAGAAGTCGAGCGATTTTGCCATATGTGTCCTTTGGCATGAAGCTCAAGCTGGACGAGAGGCGAGTGATATAATGAACGCCATATATGCTTTCATACAGGCTAATAGGGACATGGAGCACTTGTATATATGGGCTGATAATTGTACAGCGCAAAACAAAAATTGGACCCTTTATACTGCAATGATTATAATAGTCAATAACTCCTTGAATAATCTTAAATCAGTAACTATTAGCTATTTAACCAAAGGTCATACTCACATGTCCGCGGATGCTGTTCATGGCAATATCGAAATGAAAATGAGGAGGCAAAGAAATATATATGATTTTCAGGATTTTAAGGACACAGTGATGCAATCAAGGAGAAATATAAAACCTATTGAAATCAATTGTAGATATGAGTGGCCTAAAAAAAAGAGAGTGGCACGTCTTAATGAACCGCTAAAGCAATTTAATTTGAACTCTGTTGTGCAAGTCGAATTTAGCGCTGGATCAAGAAACCTTTTTTATAAGACAAGGTATTACTTATTTATTTTAATATAATATTTATTTTAAGTCAGATTTGTTTGACTTTTTTGGCCTGAACTTTAACTTTTTTTTTCAGATTTGATGAACCCCTCCAAGAATTGGACTTTCTGGTAAAAAAATTTAATTGCACTGAGCTCCCTAAAAGTCTTGATACCCCAAGAGGTATTAAACAAAATAAAAAAGAAGAAATTATTAATAAATTGGTATGTTTGATGCCGGAATCAAGAAAATCATTTTGGAATAATTTACCCGTCAATGACTCGTCTGCCGATTTGACAAATGATGGACAAATGTCTGCAGTTGAATAGCTCTTTTTTATAAATTAATAAACTTTTCTATTCAATTAATAATGCTTTTAATTACAAGGCTTTAGAGTTACTAGAATTCAATCAATAAGATATACTAAGTAGGGTACCGTAAAACCATAACAAAACCTAGCAAGTGCTCTTACTATGTTATGAAACTGGTTGTTACATGAACCTAACCATTTCGTATCAATTATCAAAGATAGTAAGGGCTTTAAATTTTGTAATATACACATATATTAAACTACTGATAGTACTATATGTGCATTATTTAGTATTTTATGCAAACAACAGCAAATTTTTTACTTAACATAAATACTTTTCAAAGGCTAACCTATTTTACGTTTAAGTGCTTTCCTGTAAAATTTAGTTTTAAGCCCTTGCTAGGTTTTGAAATGGGACAGCCGTATTGTGATCGCTGCTATGTCTACAGTTGACTGCTAAGCCCTATGTCCTCAATGAATAGAATGAGTTGCTTAGCTGTGAGTAATTTCACTTCTTCTGGGCGAAGTATATATGTAGTTTCCCAGATGAGTGCTGAATTTGCGCATTAAGGGTCCGCAATTTGTCAGGATGTGTAAAGGCGTTTCCTCCTCTAGGGAGCAAAACCGGCAGATTCTTGAGTTGCATAGTCCCAGGATGGACATGTGCTTTTTAAGACAACAGTATCCAGTCAGGGTTCTTACCAGAATGCGCAGTTTATTTTTACCCAATCCCAGGGCTTCCGAAGCGAATTTACGATCGAAGGCCCGGATTGCAATAACTGTTTATCATTATTTGTATATATATATCACTGTATATATATTTAGAGAGTTATTTATATTGAAGAAGAGGCAATCGAGCATACGGCTCACCTGATGGTAAGTGACCATCGTCGCTCATGAACATCTGCAACACCAGGGGAAGGTATTAGTTGTGATTTGGTATGACGAGGGCTATGTTTGGAGTTTCTCTGCATGATAGAGTTCGAAATGAGAATACCCGCAGTAGAAACAGAGTAACTAACACAGCCCAACGGATCATTACATACTTAGCCCGAAGAACCGACAACCGATGGCGAAGAAAGGTTCTCGAATGGCAGAATTGTACCGGTAAGCGAAGTTTTATTGCATGCCTTAAGCGCAAAGCGCGTAGTTACGTTCTTCTAGCGCCTAAAAATCAATCCAACGTTTTGTCGCATAAAATTGTATCTAACAATAATATTGATACATACTCGTATAAATGATATAAAAAGCACATTGTCAAACAAAAGTGGTTCTAGTGATTTATGATGTAGATTCATCAAGTCCGCATGGAGTGTTAAACACGATAACTTTTGAAAATATCAATTGTTTAACTTAATCTATTTTTTAATCTCTTCATCTATCATGTGGGAAGCCATCGAATGTAAATGGCAGTTAAATTTTCTTTTCTTTAGTTATAATTAATTTTTTTCGGCGTAGAAATCCCGAAATTTTCGGTGTTTTGAGCAGCCATTTTTTATTAAATGACTGCCTCACTCACTCCGGCCCTCCCGATTATATTAGCTTATCTATGCTCCGGCCTCAGCCGCCGTCGTGAGTGGATACTGTATCGGTTGTTTGTAGCGGCTCAAAAAAATCGATGTACAAATACAAAATATTCGAAAAACCAAATCTGATACTTGATTATCATATTATTGTAATAAAAATCTGTGATTATTATTACAATATTTTAAAAGTACATAATAAAAAAATAGTACTACGTACTAAAAGTAAGTAGCATGTATATATTTAAGTACATTTATACTTAAATACGTCTTGGACTAAAGTCCAAGTGGAGTGACCTGAATGATGATATGGTGATCATTATGAGTCGTGTACTTTTGCATTTTCCAAACTTCTTTTTAATAGAAGTTTGACATAAAATTATCGGAAAATTAGAAGTATAGTAATAAGCTTATTAGTGAAAACTTGTGTGTATTTAAACTACTTTAAAAATTTACTTATAATCATGTTATACGTATTTTTTTAATGTGCTTAGGGCATGCACAATTGGATTTATCAAAAGTTTATTATTTATACAATAAGGGTGACAAACGAGCCTACAGTCCACCTGATGGTAAGTGGATGCTGTGGCCCATAGACATCTACATTTATCCTTGATTAAGAATCAAAATGTAGATGCATTGTCACCCTTGAGAACTAAAATGGAATGCCTCGTTTCCAGTAAAGAGTGTCTTCGGTTCTCTACACTCACCATATGAAACACAGCAGCGTTAAGCTGCCATTTTAAGTTGGTATTCTGTGAGAGCGTGGTCCTACCCCGGCCGAGCCGACCCATTCGTGCTACAACTATAATAGCTGCAGCGTGGCTCTACCACGTATGAAAGAAGTGTAGGTCAGCCCCCACTAGATGTTATGACGACCTGATAATATGTGCCAGGAAATCGATGGATGCAGGTAGTTCAGTATCGTGATTTGTGGCAATCCATCAAGGAGGCCTATGTTCAGCAGTGAAGGTGTGATGGTGATATTTTTACTATTCACCATAATAATGAGCTCACCTGTAAGGACTAGACGAAGAGGTCTTGTACATACTGTCTCTGCTACAGGAAAACGTGCTCTGTCGACTGTGCTTACAGTCCAAACTCCTTTGACCGCGTCTCGGCAGTTCCTTCGCTAGTGCCTGATTTTGCAAGGACCCGCTTCTCGGTTTCTGGATTTGTTTCTTCGGTGTGGAGGTGGCGAGCGCCGAGAATTTGTTCTTTATTCCGTACTTCGAGTTCATGTCTTCAAAGTCTGAAACCTAGGATATTGATTACTTGAGTTTTGTTTAGATTTTTTATTTCAGAATAAAATAGAATATATTTCTATTCAATATAGATAACAAGTAATTCTTACAGAAACTCGTTTTTTGCTTTCACCACTGGTTCGGTAAAATCACTTCTATCCTGGGAAGAACTAGCAAGAAACTCAGCGAGTTTTTATTTTGTAAAGGTAAACAGCTTGGAAGCGACCACCTCATTCCCAGGGGATATTATCAACCGTGTTCATTTATATTATAATAACCCTTTTCAATCCCTGACGCGAAAAGAGGGGTGTTATAAGTTTGACCGCTATGTGTGTCCGTCTGTGTGTCTGTCTGTGACAACGTAGCTCTTAAACGGGTGAATCGATTTGTGTTCGGTGGTTCTTAGACATGTTTTATCAAAATTCGTGCAGCATACTTCATATCTCTCCTACCCGGGATACAAATTGGAACACTCCTTTGTGCCCGGGGCTGGAGTTTGTGTATACGTCAGAGAGGACATCTGTTTTCGATGCCTCGGCAGCCTTGAAGGTACGGACCTGTCCATCCCATAGCTGCGCGTAGACAGCGACGACCATCCCCGCGTCTATTGGTGCCTCTATAGGTCCCATAGCGGTAATGCCGACACAGACCGACTCATCGACCACGTCCAAATGGCTGCAGACTCCGTGCTACAACAGGTCCCACTGCAGCATTGCTCTACCACGTAAAATTATACTATAGTTATACGTGGTACACGTATACTATTGGACAAAATGATGAAAAAGATGGACTGCCTTGTTACCCGTACCGTAATGTTTTTATTTTTCTCAATATTTCTACATTGTTCATGAAAAATCTATTCCTATCTTAGTATTCTGGAGTGCTCTGAGGAATTGTTCGGACTAATTCCAGCCGCTCAATTTCACCATCGCACATCGCGACAAAACTCGCGTTACCATCCATGCTATCTGGATGATTGGCGGTCCACCACTGTGCGATTTAGATGAAGTTTTCTCCCTCGCACAACTTCCTTGTGGAATCGATTACCACCAGCGAATTTTCCGGACCGATACGACTTAGGAACCTTCAAGAAAAGAGCTTACACCATTCTAAAAGGCCGGCAACGCATCTGCAATTCCCCTGGTGTTGCGGTTGTTCATGGGTGGCGGTAGTCACTTACCATCAGGTGAGCCGCATGCTCGTTTGCCCCCTCTTCTATAAAAAAAAATCTTAGTATTCAAAGGTGACAACGCAACTGTACCCATCTTTGTATGAAATTGACTGCAGGGGTCCATATTTAATTTTAACCATCGAAAAAATAAATATAAGAAATTTAAACACGATACGAGTAATTTTCCGTAATTACTTAACTTAAAAAAAGTATAAAGTGTGCTACAACAGTGTAAAACAAAGAATTAAAGTTTCAACTTTAGAAGGTATTATTATGTAAAATTGTTTACTTTACTTTTTTTAAATTTAACTATTTGACCCTATTTGGAGTGAACATAGATTTATTACCTGCGACAGTTCTAGCGACATGTCTTCATCGAGGGAGGTGTCCCTGCTCTTCGAAGATTGAGACAAGGCGAACCTTTTTGGGGAGTCGAGCACTCTCCTGTGTTTTGAGAGGGAGTCGGCGGAGGGTCTCCGGTGAGAGCCGGGCAGCGAGCTGGCCCGGTCCGCCCTAAAGACACGAAAATTTTATCACTATCTATCTATCTATTCATTCATTACAGCTTATAAAAAGTCCACTGCTGAACATAGGCCTCCCCTATAATCATAATCATAATTTATTTGCAAAAAACATGGTACATTACAGGTTGGTAAATTATTTAAGACCAGCATGCTTTGTCATAATGTTGACATGCAAATATTTATCTAATACATAAATTACATTTTCACAACTAATATAAATAACATAACAAAATCATTTTATTACATTTAATTAAATTAAAATAATATAATTGTAATTACTTAGTCCATTTTAATATCGATGTCTAATCCTAGTCATAAAATTTAAATATTCTTCAACAAAGTAGAAACATTGTTCTTGAGGAACCTGCTTAACCCCATTAACCCATTGCTTAACAATCCTGCGAAAACGTACTTTTGGTAGTGATTGAAACTCTGTAGGCAGTGCATTGAAAATTTTTTGAACTGAATGAACAATTCTTCCTATAGAGGCTAGTGCTTGGCATTACACTATGAGTCAACCTTTCAGTATGCCTCCAGTTCCTCTGTACAGTATCTCTTAATCTTGTGAACAAAAGTATATTATTTTTTACAAAACATACCAAATTTAAGATGTACATACATGGGAGCGTCAAAATGTGTAATTTTTTAAAATACGGATTACACGATGAATCTGGTGCCAAGCCATGCATAGCTCGAATACATTTCTTTTGGGCTGTAAAGGCCTTAACAGAATCTGTAAAAGACCATAATCAAGTGCAGAATAAATGTTAATAAAGTTTCATGAGATGTAATTCTTCTCAGTCTGCTAAGTAGAAAAATGTAACTGTTTATTTTAGAACAGACCTTTTCAACTTGGGCATTCCAGTTCACATGTTTGTCCAATAATATTCCCAGAAATTTTGTTTCAGTCATTTCATTAACAGATTTTCCATTGCAATATATATTAAGATTACTTTTCAATGTTCCATAATTACTAAATTGAATATAACATGTCTTTTTTACGTTAATGCATAAATTATTATATGTCGCCCACTTTGAAATATTACCAATAGTATTATTAATATTAGATTAATAAATGTCTACGTCAATGTCTCTTTTAGATGTCACAATAACTGAAATGTCATCAGCAAATAAAATACATTTATATATAGTTGAGTCAGGTAAGTCATTTATGTATAAAATGAAAAGAATTGGCCCTAATACAGAACCTTGTGGAACCCCAAATGAATTTAATCTATCACTGGATTTGTAAGAAGTTAATGTCTGTGAATTGTCAATATTTGTTACTTCTACAAATTGTATCCTATTTCTTAGATAGCTGGCAATCCAATCTAGGACAGGGCCTCGATACCCTAAATTATCGAGTTTTTGTAAAAGTATTTTGTGGGATACAATGTCAAAGGCCTTCGACATGTCAAAAAAGATTGCTGTAACTCTTATCTTATTGTTGATAGCTTTAACAATTGCGTCAACAAGATGATATCCAGCAAGGCTTGTCGATTTATTATTTTGAAAACAATATTGCTCACTTTTAATTAAATTATATTTTGTCGTAAATTCTACAATGCGTCTAGCCATTGCCTTTTCAAATATTTTTGACAAAACTGAGACTATACTAATAGGTCTATAATTATTTAAATCTTCAGAATCACCCTTTTTATGTATCGGCTTAACAACTGACTTTTTTAAGATACTAGGAAAAGTAGCTTTTTTAAATGACAGATTTATTAGGTAAGTCAATACTCTACCTAAAACCGTACAACAACTTTTAATAACATCCGTTGAAATGCCATCAAAACGTTCCGACTTCGTATTATTTAATGTTTGTATTAATTTCAATACTTCATCAACAGTTTACATTTCTAAATACATGCTATTACATACTCTTAGACTATCAGTGTTTTAGCACTGATTACTGTTATTATTGATATTTGTTGATTCAATAAAGTGGTGGTTGAAAGCGTCTGCAATTTGTTGAGGGTCTGTCAAAAAATTACTTACATACTTATACAAATTTTTTCAATGAAATTATTTTTTATGCAAGAAGTCTGATTTTTTATTATATTCCAGGAAGCACGACATCTATTTTTTGATTGCTCAATATATTTATCATTATTAAGTTTTTGCGCTTGATTTATGCAACGTCTTAGTAAAGTGGAATAAATCCTATACCTTATTTTATTCTGGTTCGATTTTACTTTATAGTAGTTAAACCTAAGCTTCCTTTTCATTGTACAGCTTTTTCTCAGACCTTTTGATATCCACTTAGGTCGACGAACTCTATTATTAATACATATCCTAATTTTAGGAAAGCATAACTGATAAAATAACATAAAAGTATCAAAGAATTTTTGGAAAGCATTATCAAAATTATAGTTTTCTGAAGATAAATTCGTTATTTCATTTTCTGCTATCTCAAGACTTTCCTCCAGCTTCAGTATTTTTTGTTTCAGTTCATTAATTTCATCATAACAATGCATAGGCAGAGAGAAACTTCGATTTAATACATGATTTGGTGATGAATTTATAGAAGAATAATCAGTTTCTTCTCCATCAGAGAGATGGTCAGAGAAGCTTTGTAAACAAATATTTTTGTTAATTTTCTTTCGTTTTGTTATATTTTCATTTTCAATCCTGACTTTATCAGGTATTTGCTGGTTAAGTAATTTACTGGTTGATGCTCTGAGACATGTATCGCATTTGAATGCTTTTTTAGAAGATGTTGACATTATTCTAAATCTTTGAAATGATATGCTAGTACAATCTAAGTGAAATGTTTTCAAACATGAAATGCACACCAAAATTTGCTTATTTGTAATTTCTTTAGTGCATTTTATACAGGTCAGAGACATCTTGTATAATAGGCAAGTATTAATAGTCAAATATCTCTAAGCAACTTTTCACTTTCACTGTAGATTTTTCAATATAAAGAGACATCTAGTGAATAGTAGTGGAATTTATCATCAGCTGATTGGTGTTTATATATTAAATGTCAAAGTTTGAAATGATAAACGTTCACTTTAGATTAATTACACAAAATTTTAGTTCTTTTGCACTAATTGGAACCAGTAAGGTGCTTGTAACACATTAAACTAACAGTTAAGAAAAACAGTTCCTAGTGTTTATTGTTTTATACACTATTCACTCAAATTACTTTAGTATTGATAGCACGAGAAATATACTATATTTCTGTTAGATAACACTTTTGTCCATTTATTGTAAACAGTTCTTCACATAACACAACACATTACCGAATTTTAACAAGTTGGACTATTTTTAAATTTTATAAATAACAGAGATTGATTTTTGACATGACAGCAACTACCCGCCATCCATAGATTGCCTCATAGGGGGGATATTTGAAAAGTTGCAATGTTGCTGTAGATTTAATAATTTCACCTCTCAGTGCATCATGTGCTCCTGGTAGATTATCTTCTATACATCCATCCATTACAGCGTAATAAAGTCCACTGCTGAACATAGGCCTCCCCAATAGATTGCCTCATAGGGGAGATATTTGCAAAAGTTGTAATGTTGCTGTAGATTTAATAATTTCACCTCCCAGTGGGTCATGTGCTCCTGGTAGATTATCTTCTATACAACCATCCACTACAGCCTAATAAAGTCCACAGCTGAACATAGGCTTCCCCCATAGATTACCTCATAAGGGGGTTTCTGCCATAGTTACCACGCTTGCCACCCGCAGTTTTTTTATTATTTTGAGTGATTATCAGGAAGATGCTGCTGCCCATCTCCTGTTTAAGTTTCCCTCTGTCGCCTCTTACGACACCCACGGGATGATATGGGGTAGTGGATATTCTTTCAACGCTGCTACATGGTTCGAAATTGCAAAATGCAAATGAATAAAACTATACACATCTAAAGATACATAACTTTTAAGGTATTATACTAATGTTAAACACTCGCTGCCCGTGGTGCAATAAAATGGGGAAACAGGACGCCGCCTGTTGCGCTCTCTTTCGCACGGACCTCGGCGGGCATAGTGATTAGTGACGCGCCACTGTCTTGTCGATGTGTATACAGGGTCATTTTTCGAAGAGTAGCCAAATATTCAAACTTAAGTTCAAATATAAATAATGATATACCGTTATTGCAGTTTTTGAAAATACAAGTAAATAAGACTTCTACTTTTATTTGAAATGATCTCAAATTGAATGTGATTTATGGGCAACAACGTTTTTGCCTACCGATCGACCCTTACGAATATGTGCGTGCGCAGTAAAATCAGTTAAAATAATACATTACTACGCATTTTGAATTTAAAAGATAAAAGAGACAGAATGTATGAGATTTTATTTAAGTAATTTTTATTCACCATTTGACTATATTACTTATTCTGAACATTCTCTGCAATTTCGGTCGGTTATTGCAAAATAACTCAGTATTATGAGACGCACCGCACGCTCTGACCCTAGCGCACCGACGATTTATGGCACCGAGGGCAGCGAGTGTTTAACATTAGTATAAAACAAAAACAAGGTGAAAAAAGTTTGCAGATAGTGGCTATTGGAGTCCATAGACACTTTCTTTTAATAGGATAGTGGTGACAAACGAGCATAAAGTCCACCTTAGGTAAGTGGTTACTAAGGTACACCTACATTCATCCTCGATTAAAAATCAAAATGCAGATCCCTGAGGACTAAGATTGAGTGCGCCTTTGCAGTGAAAATGGTCGCCGATTCTCTCAACATACGAAACGCAGCAGTACAAATCTGCAATTTTACGCTCGTATTCTGTGAAAGTATTGTCCTTCCCGATCAAACTGACCCATTTGTGCTACACCACGCAAAATGCAACATGCGGCTAACTTCAAATAAACACACACACACAGTTTGCTTGAAGTGTTTCACAGCTTGTCATTATACTGGTTCTCTTTACTCTTCACACCTGAACATAGCCAGTGCAAGCACTTCTATTTGGTGAGAGAAATAGCAGGCGGGTGGTGGCCGGACGTACTCCTTAGGTACGAATCCTACCACCGACTCTTAAAAAAGGCCTTTGTGAAATTGAAAGAGACGTTACATTATAAGTTAATAGCGTAAAGTAAAATAGATATTTTTTTTATTTTTTAAGTTTCTGTAGCACTATTCTTACTAATAGATATAGTTTTAATTTTAGTTGAGGCATAACTTATTGTTCTTTTTTCAGTTTATGTTTTTTTAAGGTTATATGCATGCGGAGTTTACCTTTACCTAATTGTAGCACTTTTTTGAACTCATTTGATGTGTTAGTTCTAGCAATTGTTGGTAAACCTAATAGAGAGAAGAAAAAAAAAAAGAAAAAATAACTCTACATAATTACTAGCGCGTAGCGACTCGTCCCGACTTCCTTTGGCTAGTATCTATTATGTAATATTTAAAGATCATTTATATTATAAATATTTTATCGTCAAGTTTTTTAGACAAAGTAAAGCCTAGATTCCGTCTGATCTTCGGTGCGCTGACAACCGCAGTTTTTTTATTTTTAGTCGTTATTAGGAAGTCGCTGCTGCCCAACTCCCGGCTTGTGTCCCCCTGTCGTTACTTACGACACCCACGCGACCATATGTGGTAGTAGATACTTTTACACCGCCATTACATACATCACTACTATATGGTGGCAGAAATATAAAAGAAGGTAGTACCTGCCCAGCGACCTGCGACTTTTATATTATACGCCTTTATAAAATTGAATGAGAAATTACCATAATCCCATACAATTTTTTTACGTGGTAGAGTCATGCTGCAGCTATATTAGTAGTATAGTTGTAGCATGAATGGGTCGGCTCGACCGGGGAAGGACCACGCTCTCACAGAATACCAGTGTAAAATAACAGCTAGACGCTGCTGTTTTGTATGGTGAGTGTAGAGAACCGGAGACCCATTATACTGGAAAAGGGGCATTCCATCTTAGTCCTCACGGGTGACGACGCATCTGCATTTTGATTCTCTATTGAGGATAAATGTAGATGTCTATGGGTCACAGCAACCACTTACCATCAGATGGATAGTGTGCTCGTTTGTCACCGTATCCTATAAAAAAAATATTTTTACTAGCGACCCACCCCGGCTTCGCCTGGCTAGTATCTATTAATGTGGTGTTATTTGTACTTTTATTCTATTTCTATTTCTACGTCTACTGATAGGCAAAGACTAATAATCTATTTTTTTAATCTTCAAGTTTTTTTCAGATAAAATAAAGCCTGGATTCTTTCTGTCAAAGTTTCGAAGATTGGCCCGGACAGACAGATACAGCAAACAGTTTTTAACGTGGTAGAGCCATGCTGCAGCTATGTTATGTTTGTAGAACAAATGGGTCAGTTTGATCGGGGAAGGATCACGCTCATATAGAATACCATCGTAAAATAGCAGCACTAAGCAGTGCTGCTGTGTTTTGTAGATATATATTGTTATATATATCCCGTCTATGAGGGCAATCTATGGGGGGGGCCTAGGTACAATAGTACGGCTAGCATGGGCTGGGGACAAAAATTTTATCCCCCGATTATATCCACTGACAAGAGATAAAATTATCTTGTTCCTATGCCAAAGCACGGTAACGGGGAGAAGTATATCCCCGTTTGACATAACGAGTAGACATATATCCCTCGTCCATAGTATGGAGCCAAATAAAAAATTTAAAAATATGCTTTTTTGACATTTGAAAGGGACCATTTTATCCTAGTTCATTGGACGTGGGTTGAAGTTTATATTCATACAAAAAAAATCTATCTAAGTCTATCTCCCATTTTATCTACTGTGGATATTACATCCACCGGGTGCCCATGCTCGACAGGTGGATAAAAAGAAGCGAGGGGATAAATATTTTCTCCTTTCTCCGGCGATAAAATTGTCTCTTGCCCATGCTAGCCCTACAGGGGACTTTAATAGGTTGTAACGGTATAGATTACACGCACTTTTTGAAAATCTGCTTTCCAGTGACAACGAAGTCGAAGTCCTGGGCCTTCTGTGTCCTTTTTGGAGTTGAGTTGCTAGAGTGAGGTGCTGTACTGATTGCCTTGTTGTTCTCTTTGGTCTCCTCTTTGCTACCTCGGCGCGACACGCTGGCGGAGTTCCTTCTAGAAGTCGGGCGGCTTCTCCCTCCATCTCCTTCCTTATCTTCGGACCATCGATCGCTTTTTTGCATGGCGTGATGCTGTAAAGAAGACAAAATCAAAGTCGAAATATGTCTATTCAAAATTGGCCTTTATAGGAAGACGAAGAGAGAGAAAGAATAAAACATCTTTATTTAAAGCTATGCACATAATACTAAATATATTAATACTCCTGTTAATTATCTGCCGAAATGTGAGGCTACAATGAGAGTCAACCATGTCCAAGAATAAACCGTTTCAGGTTGATAGATTTTAAAAGCATTTCAATAAATTCGTATAAGTATTATTGAAATTGCGCCTCCTACATGACTAAGTCGGAAATTATGTCAGTTTAAATGTTGTTGCTATTTTAAACTATCAGGCGCTATAGACAAACTACATCTACACGTGAATTATTCTGATATAATTTTACGCTCAGTTGACTGTGTGTGTTGAAAGGTAGGTAAGGTTATAGGTATATCGATTATTTATTCAAAATGGCACCTATTTAACCTATTTAATACAGGTCATTGATCAAGCTTAATTATTTACGTTTTATCTATGTATATAATCTGATACATCATGTATCAGATTATATACATACAAGCAGATTATATACATAGTATTTTATTCTATACAAAAGATATCTATTCTAAAAGTTTTTTTTAATAATAATTTTTGGTGTTAACTAGAGGCAGCATTACCGTGGAGTGACGTTGTAAGAATATACACTACCTCATATCGTCCTGTCAGACGTCGGCGACAGAGGGAAACAAACCATGAGATGGGCAGCAGGGTCTTTCTTATAACAACTTATAATTTAAAATTAAAAAATTTGTACAACCGACTTCAATATAAATTATTAAGAGTAACTCAAAAACGAAAGTCAGACCTTGATCAAATTTATATATATAAATATAAATATAATTTATATTTATATATATACCACATGTGAAGCACCAGCTTTCAAATAAAAAAAATCATCGAAATCGGTTCTCCCAGTAAAAAGTTATGAGGTAACACACATAAAAAACATACAGTCGAATTGAGTACCGTCTCCTTTTTCAAGTCAGTAGAAAAATGATAAATTGCAATTGCCGACATGCCCGCCAAGCGTGTCAACTACCTATGGTAAGTATCCCCTTTATGAGGAAGGTCCATGTTTAACAGTGGAACTTGATAGGATGTACTCTAAATCTTCACGTGGGAGAGCCACGCGGCAGCTATATTATGGATGAAGAACGAATGGGTGAGTTTGACCGGGGTAAGACTACTCTCTCACAGAATACCGACCGGCGTAAAACACCAGAATAACGCTGCCGTGTTTCGTATGCTGAGTGTAGAGAACTGGACACCATTTTTACTGGTAAAGAGGCATTCCATCTTAGTCCTCACGGGTGACAACGCATCTGCATTTTGATTCTTAGTCGAAGATAAATGTAGATGTTTACGGGCCACAGCATTCACTTCCGTTAGGTGTGCTCGTTTGTCAGCTTTGTTCTATAACTAAGTGCTAGCCACGACATCGCCCGCGTGTAATTTAGGTTTTTAATTTTGTTGCGCGGAACCATAATTATTTTTCAAAAATATTAGTAGCCTAAGTTACTCCTTATAACATGAGCTATCTACCAGTGTCTAAAGTCCCATCAAAATCGGTCCAGCCGTTTCGGAGATTAGCCGGAACAAACACACAGACAAAAATTTAAAAAATTGTGGTTCTGTTATAGGTAACGTATATACTTTTATATGCAATTAGTAAAAAGCTGTTATTTTGACATTACAAACAGACATTTCAATTTTATTTATTTGTATAGATATAGAAAAAAAATGATGTGTCAATATCTTTAGGATAACAATCTAGTACAGTACTGTATGTACTACTGAATATAAGTTTTTTTTAAATGTAATATGATTGTTGTCTGTTTTGTTGTCCATTTAATAAATAAATAAATAACTAAATAAAGTAACAATTTCATATTTGCTGGCGGGGATCGAACCCGGGTTGCTTGCGTAAGTACCGTGAAACTTGCGAGAGCTCCTATATTCCACGGCTATTATTTTCCCAGGCACTTTCCAAATTTAGTATACACTATCGTCCCATCCCGGATTCGTCTGTATAGGATTTATTAATAAGGCGTTTTAACACGTTTTTGTTAGTTTCGCGTGTATCTATCTATGAATATTTATCTAAAATTTATTTATTTAAAAAAAAGTCCCGCTGGTTTTCTTGGTGGTTCTTCCCAGGACAGAGGAAGTAAAAAATGACTTTCAATAAGAATTACTAGTAATCAATATTGAATAAAAAATTATTCTATTCTATTCTATTCTATTCTATGTAATGGAATTTTCTATTGTAAGTTTTACCAACTTGTAGACGGCCGATTGACTTGAAAAATTTGTGTTCGTATCAAGGACTGATGACAAACAATGCAATAATTTGATGACCGTGATCACGTGTTCTCATTAGGATCATCGCAGCTGAGGATCAATGCGTGTTGTTGAAGTTTTTTTAATCTCTAATATTATTTACACTAGATAATCAAAAGCCATTCATTTTTCTATTTTTCCTTTTTCTACCGACTTCCAAAAAGGAGACGGTACTCAATTCGACTGTATGTTTTTTTATGTGTGTTACCTCATAACTTTTTACTGGGTGAACCGATTTCGATGATTCTTTTTTTATATGAAAGCTGGTGCTTCACATGTGGTCCCATATTGATCAAGGTCTGAGCAATAGTTTTTGAGTTATTCTTATTAATTAATTAATATTGAAGTCGGTTGTACAAAATTTTTAATTTTTAATTATCAAAAAAGTGTTCAAGTTTTGTATATGTTTAATATACAGTTTTACAATAACCGGCCAAATTTCCAGAGTAGGTTCAGAATAAATATATAGGCAAATGGTGATGAAAAATTAATTTAAAAAAATCTCAAACATTGTGTCCTTCTTATCTTTTAAGTACAAAATGCGTGGAAATGCATTATTTTAAACTGATTTCACTGCGCACGCACACATTCGTAAGGGTAGATTGGTAGGCAAAAACGTTGTTGCCCATAAATTTTTACGTGGTAGAGCCACGCTGCAGTTATATTAGTAGTATAGTTGTAGTACGAATGGGTCGGCTCGACCGGGGAAGGACCACGCTCTCACAGAATACCAGCGTGAAATAGCAGCTTAACGCTGCTGTGTTTCGTATGGTGGGTGTAGAGAACGGCAGACCCTTTTTACTGGAAAAGAGGCATTCCATCTTAGTCCTCACGGGTGGCAACGCATCTGCCACAGCGACCACTTACCATCAGGTGGACTGTGTGTGTGGATAATTTCAAATAAAAGTAGAAGCCATATTTATTCGTATTTTCAAAAACTGCAATAACGGTATACCATTATTTATATATGAACTTTAGTTTAAAATTAGGATACTCTTTGAAAAATAACCCTGTATATATGTGTATAGCCTTGCTCTCAATTGGTTCCTAAGATTTCAACACAATCGACTCATCATTCCGAAGCGAAGATTAGCGCGGACAGACAGACAGACAGACAGAGAGACAGATAGACAAACAAAAATATATGCTTAATAGAAGTCAGTTATTTCAATTAATTTTATTTATATGTATGTATAGATGTACAGACATAATGTATTGCCGAAGGCTTTTAGCTCAGGAGGTAAACACTCGCTGTAAACTGCACAGTATGTGAGTGACCCAGGTTCGATTCCCACCGGCACCAATGAAATTGTTAAAAGCAGTTTTTTTATTGGAAGCGAGGCATTCCACCTTAGTCCCCAGTGGTGACAACGCATCTGCATTTTGATTCTTAATCGATGATAAATGTTTATGGGGCACAGCATTTACTTACCATCAGGTGGACTGTGTACATACATACATACATATAGTCACGCCTCTTTCCCGTCGGGGTAGGCAGAGACCACTTCTTTCCACTTGCTACGATCCTTACATACTTATTTCGCTTCGTCCACTTTAATTATTCCCTTCATACATGCTCTACGGTTTAGGGTACTCTTGACCTGGCCTTTTTTCAAAACGTCCCTGATTTGGTCTTGAAACGTCCGCCTAGGTCTACCCCGTTCTCGTTTTTCATTCATTCTCTCGACATGGCCAAACCATCTCAGCATACCTTTCTCAATTTTTGTCACTACATCTTCTTTCAGACCACAACGTTTCCTCATCTCACTATTTCTTATCCTGTCACTCAGTTTAACTCCTATCATACTTCTTAATGCTCTCATCTGAACTGCATTTATTCTGCTTTCATGTTTCTTCTGTCATATCCAACTTTCCCTTCTGTACATGAGTGTCGGAACCAACACCGACCCCCTCATGCACAGCCAAACGAGCCTTGTTAGACACCTTCCGACTGCTCATAAAGGAGTGCAAAGCTCCATTCACCATGTTTCCTGCATTCACTCTTCTTTCGATATCACTCTCACACTTTGTGTGTTGTTTGTGGACCATGTGCTGGATTGTAATCTCGATCCTATGTAAAAAAAAAACCTCAAAATAATAATAATTGCGGTTACCCGCCTGCAAAACGTGGTATAGCAACATCCCGCCTATAAAAAGTTATCTATGGGGGAGGCCTTTGTATACGAATAAAAATAAATATAGGTACTTACATATATGAGTTGTTTATTTCATAAACAATTTATCTTCGGAGTGTCCATCGCATTGTATCCTTGCTTTACGAAACAGATCCGTCTGTGTGCTCTCTCCACGTAAGTTCGCACTTCGGCAAGCAGTGTCAAACTGAGCGAACACACAAGGGCTATAATTCTGTGACACGCTTGAATAGTTTCGGAAACTAACGCTGTGATAAGCGGAGCGTGTAGCGAGTATATAAGCATTGACTATTGAGTTGTTATCCGCGTTATAAAATAAAATGATGTGTCTTACCTAGTATGAAGAGCACCTCCCGCCCTCCCTCAATTGCGTGCACTATCCCCGTCACCACTAATCCCAGCACCGCTACTCCCAACACCACTACACTAGGCAAGACACACCACTGACGATAATACGACACGTGTTTCGCCTC